ATTCCTGAAGAAATCTCAGGAAAAAAATTCAAAAACTTTTTTGGTATTCCTAATAAAAAAAATTTCAAAAAATGTTCTTTAACTGCCCTAATTTAATGAGAACTGTACAAAAAAAACGATACAAATTTTACAAATAATTCTACCAATCATTTTCATCAAAAACGTTTAGTTTTTTAACCAAAATTACCCAAAAAGTTTCCATTTTGAGTGAAGTTTTTATCGATAAAATTTTCAAAAAATGTTCTCTATCTGCCCTAATTTGATGAGAAACGTGCAGAAAAGTTACAGCTTTTAAAAATAATGACCAAAGATAACCCAAAAATTCACATTTTGACAGACAATTTTATAAAACAAAATTTTGAAAAATGTTCGTTAACTGCCCTAATTTGATGTAAAACGTGCAGGAAAAGATACAATTTTAAAAAATATTTTTTCCAAAACTTTTATATCAAAAAAGTTTAGTATTTGACCAAAAATGACCCAAAAAGTTCACATTTTGACAGAAGAATTTATAAATAAAGATTTCTAAAAATGTTCTCTAAATGGCCCAATTGTTTGAGAAACTTGCAGCAAAAGATGAAATTTTGAAAAATAATTTTACATGATTTATGTCATTTTTCTTTTTAGTTTTTGACCATAAGTAACACAATAAGTTCACATTTTGACAGGACATTTGATTAAAAAAAAAATCTAAAAATGTTCTTTAATTGCCCTAATTTGATGAGAAAATTAAAAAATAATTTTACAGAAATTTTCTTCTAGATTTTTTAGTTTTTGACTTAAAATGACAAAACGTTCACATTTTGACAGAAAACCTTATAAAAATAAATTTCTAAAAATATTCTCTGAATGCCCTAATTTGATGAAAAACATGCAGGAAAAGATAACATTTTGAAACAATTTTACAAGAATTTTCGTCAAAATCTTAGTTTTGTGGGATCTTTTTTGACAGTTGAAAGCATTTTTGAATTTGTAATTTTTTTTGAATTTTTTGTAACTAATGTGGTTGTATATTAGGAGTTTTTGAGTCAACTTTTCAAAGGTCAACATATTTTTTTATATATTTAATTTTTAGCATAAATTATTTACATGGGAGCATGTTTTGGGGTAATTATTGCATTTGGAGGAATTTTTTTATTTCTACATTTTTTATTTTTTGCCAAGTTTTCTTCACACCTGTTTATCATTTACATGTTGTTGACATTGACTGTCTCACCTTAACTGACTGGGTCTGTTGATACTTGATGTCCTTGTTGTCACCTGGTCCATGCTGTCACCTGGTCCTTGTTGTCACCTGGTCCTTCACCTGGTCCTTGTTGTCATGGTCCTTGTTGTCAGCTGGTCCTTGTTGTCACCTGGTCCTTGTTGACACCTGGTCCTTGTGTGTTGTGTGTTGAGAGTTGGATCCTGGAGCCCCGGTCTGGCCTTCTGCTTCAGCCACGTCTAAACAGCACCCCCCAGTGGAGAGTTGACTTCACTCGTCCTCCTGAAATACAGTGAAAGTTTTATTCTATTTTAAACAAGTTGAAGTTCAGCTAAAATGAAGGTGAAACTTTTTCAGGTGATGACGTTTTTTGATGGACAGATCCTGTAGATGTGGGAGGAGTTGAACTTTGTAAACAAACACGTCTGTGACTGAGTATTGAACCAAACACAGTCAGAGACACGGGCTTTAGTTCTTGATATCTCAGGAGATCTTTTATACATTTAAGCAAAAACTACATCTACATCTTTTTTGGGGAGGGGGCGGGGGGGGGGGGAAAACAACAACCAAACACATGTCGGCTAATGTTACCTAACGATGAAAGAAAAGTTCAAACTTGTTTTTTTTTACCTCATCACTGATCTTCACTGTCACTGCTGCTGCTGCTGCTGCTGCTGCTGCTGAACGACAACAGCAAATCAACACTAACACACCGCAGCTGTCGGCAGTGTCGCTGCTCCACATGCTCCCATATGGTCGTTTGCGCATGCGCGAACCGGTTGCCATGGGCAGCTTCATACGGCCATTTCACCGACACTAACTTCAGTGACGGCTGCTGAGGAACTGAGTTCCAACAGTAAGAACCAAACAGAACGTCTTATTCCACTGTTCCTCCTCAGCTGGTACTGATTCACATCCATCAGTTCCACTGACACCAACACCAACACATCCACAGGAACACAAAGGCTCTACAAAGAACGGTTCTTTATAAAAATGGACACAGCGCCCCCTGGTGTCTAACAAATTCATATTTCCTATAAACAAATTAAACTCTAAAGATTTAGACGCCCCTTGAGGTGGGACAGAGTACTGCCTGCCTCCACTGTTGACTTTTCTCTGCACTTTCTTGTCCAATCAGCAGGACCAACTCTGTCCCACAGACATTACAGACATTACAGACATTACAGACATTACAGACATTACAGACATTACAGACATTACAGACATTACAGACTGTAGAGAGTCACGATGTAAAACAGAGATTTCTGGAAAGTTCTTATTGGTGATAAGATCTGAGGAACAGAAACGGACCCACGTCATGTGACCCAGTTCTATTGGACCGTCAGTCATGAGTCACAGCCGCTGCTTCACCCGGGGTTTGATCCACACATACTGAGATTTGGTGATTTGTACTAAATAAAACGTCTAAAACGTCATCGACTCAGCTGTGACTGATTTATTTATTTATTAAGAACTGGGTCCAATCCACCACAGACTGACATGGTCTGTGAACCTCAGCAACTGACACTGTTCTCTTCAACAACAGAAGAGAAACAGAAGAACAGCCTTCAACCTTCAAAATAAAAGTCTCTTATATTTACAGTCAGACTTTTATACTTTTACTGTATTTGTATTTTTGGGCCGTGGTTTTTGTCACTCAGCAAATGCTTTTTTTGTCATTAAAAATTTAACTTGAAAAAAAGTCAGTTCATTCAAAAAAAAGTTCATTAAAATAATGTTAAAATGTAAATATATATAAATATACAGTAAATATGTGGAGTAAAAAACTGTCAATATTTTCAAACGTCATTTTCAGTCGATCCCGTCTGACTTATCCCCATTCCCATTCTTGAGGATTCCGTCGGTGGTCCCATGACCCAGACCCTGACCCTGACCTAGACCCTGACCCTGACCACATGACCCAGACCCTGACCTAGACCCTGACCCTGACCCTGACCCTGACCCTGACCCTGACCCTGACCCGGGGTCTTCGGACCACAGGGCTCAGGGTCGTCCACCTGAGGTTCTGAGAAAGCCACTCTCTTCCCGTTGGACCTGCGTTTCCCAGACTCCTTGTCTTCAGGGTCAGAACAGAGGACGACGACCTGCCCCCCACACCCACTGCCCCCCCCGTATCGACAGGGGGTGAGGTAGAGGTAGAGCAGGACCAAGGTGATGCTGACGCCACAGGTGACCAGTGTGGTGAAGGCCGTGTTGAAGGGCTCTGAGCCACGAGTTGAGCCACTTACAGCGGCGGCGCTAATGTTTCCAACAACAACGTTCACCTCTATGGGCGTGGGGGGGTCAAAGTGCCCCCCCCGTGCTGCCACGCACCCATAAGTACCACCATCTTCAACAAGTGCCCCTCTGATCACCAGGGTTCCGTTGGACAGAACCACGGTCCGGTCGGTCGGACCACCGCTCGACGAGTTGACCACAGCCCTGGGAGTCACCCAGAAAACAACCTGTCCCTGATTGGCTGCAGCAGCAGCCAGTCCTGGGCATGGAACCGACAGCCATCTTCCTGGCTCAACCTGGTAGGACTGCAAGTCCGTCACCCCCCCGCGACTGATGGGGGGGGGTTCCCTGCATGGGAATTCTCCTCTGAAGTCCACCAGGGGGCGGTACTGTTTCCACGTCCAGTACTGCAGTAAAGCGCTGACCCCACAGTCACAGACCAGAGGGTTCTGCTGGACGTAGATCCAGCCGCGACGGCCGAAGGTCAGCAGACTCTGGACGGGCACCACAGAAATGTTGTTGTAGGAAAGGTCGAGAAAGGTCAGGTCAGGGACGCCTCCAGGCCCCCCCAAGGTCTCGAGGGGGAACGCCTTGAATTTGTTCCCAGAGAGATACAACCTGTGCAGGCGGTGGAGACCCCTGAAGGCCCCCGGGACCACCTGGACCAGCCGGTTGTCAAAGACCAGCAGCTCCTCCAGGTCCGTCAAGGCCGCGAAGACCGACGCGTTCAGGACGGTCAGCTGGTTGGACGACAGGTCCAGGTGCAGCAGACGCGGCGTGGCGTTGAAGGCGTCGGCGTGGATCAGACCGATGAGGTTCCTGTTCAGGACCAGTGAAGTGAGTCGGTCCCAGGGCCGGGGGGTCCAGTCCCTGGTCACGGCCCTCAGCAGGTTATGGCTCAGGTCCAGACGCGTCCCAGAGGACGGGAGGTCAGACGGCACCGCGGAGAGGTTACTGCCCCCGCAGGAAATGACATCCACGGCACAGAGGCAGGGGGCGGGGCAAACGGCCAGGCAGGGGGGGGCGCCACAACACAGCAGCAACAGAGCTGCCACAGGAGGGCAGCACCGGGGTCCAGGGGTGACCCGACACATCCTGGTCTGGGTGAGGTCTGGGTGAGGAGCGGGGGAGGTCAGGGCGACGTCGGGGTGTGGACGGTGTGGGGGTTAGA